TTTGATAGGGATCAGGACACACAGCTTGTACGGACAAACCTGAAGAATGTTTTGTTATGTTCAAAAGATGGATAAATTATGATCCTTTATAAATTGTCCTCAATTCCATCTATATATCTTCTCTCTATTTTATTTTATTTTATTTTACTGAAAATAATCTTTTCTTAACTTTATCAACTTTAGATGTTTGTGAACAAAATCTTTCCCTGTTCTGGTTTTACATGTCATTTGCAAGAGGGGCTGAAGATGGAATTAAAATCTTGTAATGCAGCTAATGGATTGACTCTTCTATGCTAATAAAATGTAGATAGAATATTTTTGGTCCTTTTCCGTAGTTATAATAAACCAGACTTAACTTTAGATCTAAACTTGTACACTTCTTTGAGTGTTCAGAAGTGCATTTAGAGGTAAAAATGTTATCTAAAAATAAAAACTCTAAATTTGAGAGGAAGGTGTATAACTCCTAAACACGGCATGAAAACGTTCGAAAAATGCAAGTTACATAACTAGATAGACAGTTTTGAGTTTATAAATTCTGAATCGGTTGGGATTGAATATTCATACATATTAAGCAAAATTTCTTAACACAAATACACTGAATTCCGCAAACTCGTAACTTCAACATTAGATCCATCCCTGCTAATTATCTAGGTCATTTCAACTAGAAGTTCATGCAACTCTTGAATGAAGTTATCGATGTAGTTACTCATGAAGCCAGGACTCGAAAGAAGTTCCTTCCATTTCTTATGATTCTCTTTCACAAGATGACCAATTTGGCTATCTTTATCCATAACACATTTCACAGCCTTGCACAAATTCTCTTTTGTAAACAAATCGTTTTCATCTTTCTCCACTTCTACGCCAACCTTAAGTTGTTGTTCCATAAGCCTAGCAATTAAAGTATGTTCAAAAGGTCTTGGCAAAAGTACCAATTGACAATCACACAGCGCCAAAGACTCCCACATCGATCCATAACCACAGTGAGTCACAAAACAACCAACTGATTTGTGACTTAAAATCTCCAATTGTGGCACCCAACAATCGAGAATCAATCCCTTTTCTTGAACCCTTTCTTTGAATCCCTCTGGCAACGCTTCTTCGGCTGAATTTGTCCCTTCAGGTGGCTTAACAACTAAAAGAAATGGTAATTCAGTCAGTTCAAACCCTAAAACGAGTTCTTGAAACTGTTTCTTTTCAAGAATCATTTGGCTCCCAAATGCACAAAACACTACTGATCTTGGCTCGAATTTCTCGAGCCAATTTGATACTCCGTGTTCTTCTAAAGACTCATTTTTCGGCTCGGAAAGAACAGGCCCTGTGTAAAGGACTGACTTTTCAGAATGTGTTGCTATGTAGTCACAAAAGGTTCCTTCAATTTCTCTACATGTTCTCATACCTATTGCATCGCATCCTGTCATTCCCTTCTTCACTCGTTCGTAAAATGTCACCCCCTTTCCATATTCATGAAATAGAAATGATAACAACTTAGCTTCACTTTCGCGCAACACCACAGTAGTAGAAGGGTAATCTGGTGGTGGCTTTACTAGCTCAGCTGCGGTTGATGCCATAAAAGTAGTCTTATCTGGTGACTTAACAAATTGTATAGATGCTGCAGCAGGGCTAAAAACACTGTAAAACAGACTCTTGATACCCCCAATTTCTCGTGCTAAATCAGGAATCCAATAAGCAAAATCAAAGAAAATGAAATGGGGTTTAACATTTTGAAGAAAAGATTTGATTTCGTCATACAATTCATCAAAAGCTGTTGCTAATAGACTCTCCAATGATGTAGGAATATCAGCTGTAGTCTCTGCTCCATATGGAAGGCCATCAACATGAGGTATTGTCAGTTTATGTAATTTGATGAGATTTGGATAATGATTGAGTTTTTGAAGTCTAATTTCAGCATTTTTGGGCAACAAGAATGAGATTTTGTGACCTCTTTTTGCAATTTGATTTGACAGATTCATATATGGGATTAAGTGCCCAAAAGCAAGCCATGGGAACATCACTATTTCCATTTTTGACTCTTCTATGGACTCTCTCATTTTTTTTTTCTCTTTTGCCTTTGACGAAATGCTTCCTCTCTTTCAATTTTGTCTTTGGATATAAGGAATTTAATTGTTCATAAAACTTTAAAGGAGGTCCATTGGTTCCTTATCATTAGGGCCAGCAAAATGAAACCATATTTTGATAACCCATCCAATCGGTCCATATTTTAATGGATTGGGTGAGTGACCTTTAAATGAGTAAAATATGGGTTGATATCCATATTCAACCCATAAAAATATAGGTAAAATATGGATTAGCTAAATGGGTTAAGGTTCTAATTTTTATTCACTCAAAATTTATGATATCACCAAAAATATAACTTCTCTTCCTTTTCATGTTCTTCTATAAAACTAATTATTTTTCTCTATAATTGAAAAGGTGAAGTCTTTGACCCTCCAAAAATATATTTTTTAAATGTCCATTTCTTTTGTTAATTATAATTATATTTATTTATTTGTTTAATTTTATATTGGATAATAAATAATAGTGTAAAATAAGCAAATCATGTACTAGTATTCACATTGCTTAAAGTGCATTAAGCATGTTTTAGTTCTAAAATGCAAATGAATTTTGAAATTAAAAATATGTTCCCCTGTTATTACATAAATTTATTTCATATTGAAAAGTTATAGGATTTTTTTTTTTACTTTTATGATACAATAATACTAAATGAAGCATTTTCAACATTTTTCATCTAAAAAAAGACTAAAATATTTTCTACATGTTGAATTCTTAAGTAGAGTACTATTTACTCATGAAAATATGGTAAAATATGGGTAAACTAGTATTTTACCTAACCCATTTGATACCCAATCCATTTTTACCCATATCAAATATGTGCGAGTTAAATTATTACCCATTTTATGTTGACCCATTTTCAACCCGCCCATTTGCCACCACTACTAATCATCAATAAAATAATACATAGCATTATTTTGTTGGTAAAATGACTGTCAATAATTTAGGAAGGCAATTATGCTCTTTAACTTGGCTTCAACTGACATTTATACTCTCTAACTTTGAATGTTTACAAGTAGACACTTAAACTTGTACAAAATTGAACAAATAGACACATTCGTCCTACATGGCGTCCTACATAACAATTTTGTGTCCTATGTGGCGCCCTACGTGTCTTATGCCACAGGATGCATATGTCTACTTTTTCAGTTTTTTACAAGTTTAAGTGTATACTTGTGCATTCTCAAAGTTGGAAGGTATAGATATCAGTTAAAACCAAGTAAAAGGGCACATTTATGTATTATGTCATTTAGAAATAATGGAGAAGTTGTTGAAACTGCCAATTTTGCTGCTGCTTCTTCTTCTTCTATAACAACAATAACAAGCTGCTTCGCATTCCACGGTTGAGTATTTTTGATATGATAAGAGATATTTTTTATCCTTTTCCATAGTAAAAATATACCAAACTTAATTTTAGATCTAAACTTGTACATTTCTTTGAGTGTTCAGAACTCAGAAGTGTATATAGAGGTAAAAAAAGTTCTTTTTCCTTTTTATAAAAAAGAAAAAGTCTAAATTCGAGGGAAAGGTGTATAACTCCTATACACGACATGAAAACATCCGATAAATGCAAGTTACTTTACTAGATACATGGTTTTTGAGTTTATAAATTCTGAATTTTAAAACATGACAACAATTGGTTGGGGATGAATAATTCATACATATTAAATAAATTTCTTAACAAAAATGCACTGGATTATGCAAACCCCGTAACTTCAACCTAAGATCCACCCCTGCTAATCATCTAGGTCTTTTCAACTAGAAGCCCATGCAATTCTTTAATGAAGTTATCAATGTAGTTACTCATGAAGGTAGGACTCGAAAGAAGTTCCTTCCATTTCATATGAGTCTCTTTCACAAGAAAACCGATTTGGCTATCTTTATCCATAACACATTTCACAGCCTTGCACAAATTCTCCTTTGTAAACAAATCATTTTCATCCTTCTCCACTTCTACACCAACCTTAAGGTGTTGTTCCATCAGCCTAGCAGTAAAAATCAACTTGTTGGGTGATTAATCTCCAAATTTAACATCCTTAATTACAATTATGAATTTTCAATTAAAACTAATCATTAAGTTAGTTGATAATACTTAATCATTTTTCTAATAGCGTATCATTGTAGTTAGACGAGATCTTACTCCAACAAAATGACTTATGCAACCGTGAAGGTATGAAATTAATTGTAGAAATAAGTTACATGAAAATTAAGAAATAATTAATTTATATCAATTTAGTCAGATTGAGTTATATTTAAAGAGCTTTATTTTTATTTTATATTTGTATTAACTTTGCATTTATTTATTTTTCTTTAACAGGGATCAGGACACACAGACAAACCTGAAGAATGTTTTGTTATGTTAAAAAGATGGATAAATCACTATCCTTTATAAATAGTCCTCAATTTCATCTATATATCTTCTCTCTATTTTATTTTACTGAAAATAATCTTTTCTTAACTTTACCAACTTTAGATGTTTGTGAACAAAATCTTTCCCTATTCTGATTTTACATGTCATTTGGAAGAGGGGCTGAAGATGGGATTAAAATCTTGTAATGCAGCTAATGGATTAAACTCTTCTATGCTAATAAAATGTTGAGCGTATTTGTAGACCAAAAGAAAGACATAATATTTTTGACCCTTTTTCCTGTAGTTAAAATATACCATACTTAACTTTAGATGTAAACTTATACACTTCTTTGAGTGCCCAGTGGTGCATTTAGCCTAAAAATGTTATGTTAAAAAAAACTCTAAATTTGAGAGGAAGTGTATAACCCTCAACACGGCATGTAAACATCTGATAAATGCAAGTTACATCACTAGATAGACAGTTTGAGTTTATAAATTCTGAATTGGTTGGGATGGATTAATCATTCATATTAAGTAGATTTCTTAACACAATACACTGAATTCTGCCAACCTTTTGACTTTTAGGTCTTTTCAACTAGAAGTTCATGCAAGTCTTGAATGAAGTTATCAATGTAGTTACTCATGAAGCCAGGACTTGAAAGAAGTTCCTTCCATTTCTTATGATTCTCTTTCACAAGACAACCGATTTGGCTATCTTTATCCATCACACATTTCAGAGCCTTGCACAAATTCTCTTTAGTAAACAAATCATTTTCGTCTTTCTCCACTTCTACACCAACCTTAAGTTCTTTTTCCATCAGCCTAGCATTAAAAATGTGATCAATAGGCCTTGGCAAAAGTACCAATTGACAATCACACAGTGCCAAAGACTCCCACATCGACCCATAACCACAGTGAGTTACGAAACAACCAACTGATTTGTGTCTTAAAATCTCCAATTGTGGCACCCAACAATCAAGAATCAAGCCCTTTTCTTGAACCCTTTCTTTGAATCCCTCTGGCAAGGCTTCTTCTACTGAATTTGTCCCTTGAGGTGGCTTAACAACTAAAAGAAATGGTAACTCAGTCAGTTCAAAGCCTAAAACAAGTTCTTGAAACTGTTCCTTTTTAAGAATCAATTGGCTCCCAAATGCACAGAACACTACTGATCCTGGCTTGAATTTCTCGAGCCAATTTGATAATCCGTGTTCTTCTAAAGGCTCCTTTTTTGACTCAGAAATGACAGGTCCTGTGTAAAGGACTGGCTTTTCAAATTGTGTTGCTATGTAGTCACAAAAGGCTCCTTCAATCTCTCTACATGATTTCATAGCTATTGCGTTGCATCGTGTCAATCCCGTCTTCAATCGTTCATACATTGTTACGCCCTTACCATATTCATGAAATAGAAATGATAACAACTTAGCTTCACATTCGTGCAACACCACAGTAGTAGAAGGGTAACCTGGAGATGCACCAATTGACCACATCTTAAGAATGCATAATGACACTATATGATTAAAGAATACCTAGTTACTATTATTATTGACTAGTAGATAACTGTATCTGAAAATTTGTAATCACAAACATTTATTTATTATAAAAGAAACATGAAATTCAGGAATAAGGGTGACCTGGTGGTGGCTTTACTAGCTCAGCTGCAGTTGATGCCATAAAAATAGCCTTGTCCGGTGATCGAATGAATGATATACATGCTACAGCAGGGCAAAAAACAGTGTAAAACAGAGTCTTGATACCCCCAATTTCTCGTGCTAAATCAGGAATCCAATAAGCAAAATCAAAGAAAACGAAATGGGGTTTTAGATTTTGAAGAAAAGATTTGATTTCATCATACAATTCATCAAAAGCTGTTGCTAATAGACTCTCCAATGATCTATGAACATCAGCTGTAGTCTCTGCTCCATATGGAAGGCCATCAACATGAGGTATTGTCAGTTTATGCAATTTGATGAGATTTGGATAAAGATTGAGTTTTTGAAGTCTAATTTCTGCATTTTTTGGCAACAAGAATGAGATTTTGTGACCTCTTTTTGCAAGTTCATTTGACAGATTCATATATGGGATCAAGTGCCCAAAAGCAAGCCATGGGAACATCACTATTTCCAGCTTTGACTCTTCTGTAGAATCTGTCATCTTTTTTTCCTAAATTCGCCTTTGATGAATTGCTTTCAATTTATCCTACGGGAGGTTGAGATATATTCATAAACTAGACGGTGGACACCCGTGCTAGCACCGGCCCAACATTGTAAATATAAATTAATTTGACTTGATACAGAATTAAAGAAAGAAAAGAATTTTTTTGAAACTTATAGTCTAAAATAAGTGATAGATATTTGTATTACTGTAAATCATTTCATTAAAGTAAAATGATTATTTTAAAGTGAAATTGTTACTTAATATAAAATTATTTTATTTTATTGAACTGACTAAAAATGAAAATAAATTATATAAACTTAGACAAAGAGAATAACATTTGTCATTATCTTTTGTTTAGATGGATATTAAAATGAGTGAAGAAATTGATGTACTCCCTCCGTCCCATTTTATGTGACACTATTTCCTTTTTGGTCAGTCCCAAAAAGAATGTCACATTTCCTTATATGGTAAGTTTATAAAGGTACAATTCCTTTTTTATCTTTGTTGGTCTCACTTAATCTTAAAATAATACTTCAATACATTTATGAGGAGAGAGAAAAAAGAGTCTACTTTTTAAAGGGCAATTTAGTAAACATTTCAAAGTCTTCATTTATTTCTTAAACTCCGTGCCCGATCAAATATTGCCACATAAAATGGGACGGAGGGAGTATTAACTTTGTCTTGGTCCGAAATGAGAGAGTAGGAATAGATACATGTTTCATTCATGTGATATTTACAACATTAACTACGTCCACAAATTCAAATCAAATAATCACATCATGAAATGTCAAAACTACCCTTAGTTTGAATTGAAAGGCCAAGACACAGCCATGTTGATACCACTTCTTTAACTTATGCTTCTATAACATTAGAATTTCAATCAAATACAGTATAATTTTAAGCGAATTTTACACAAATTTGATATTGCTAAGAACTAATTACATCTTATCCCCATTCTTTTGCAAATTACAAAAATTTCTTAAATTTGCTGGAATCTGGATACATCCCAAAATGTCCCAATACATTGTGTCCCGGCTTCGGATACATCCTTCAATATCCTGATACATCGCATCTCGATTTCGAATACATCATAGCGTTAGTGATGTATCTGACTGACACATCATGTAAAGTAATGTATCCGAGAATAGGAGAGAGTATAGATTTTTGTAATTTTTTCAAATAGTAGGAAATTTTAGAACATATGATAAAATAAGCTGTGTATTTAATTAATTTTTCCTAATTTGGGATAATAGGAGAAGGGTCAAAGATATTGAGCAACTTTGCTAGTTTTATCTTCATTTACAAACTTGTCACTCGTATCCTTAATTTGATGGAAAGCCTCGAATCAGCCCAAAATACCCATTTTTCTTAAAAACAAGTAATTTTCAAATTAAAACTTCCGACCTTTTATCAATCTTAACCAAATAAATTAAACCCATTGCTAAAGTTTGAGCTCATCAATGTCTTGGGCAGATCCATAAGATATATATCTCTCTACTTCTCTTGCTAGCTATCTTGATAGTGAATTCCTTTCTCTTTCAGAATTAAGTTTAATATTCTATCTTATTTCGTTATTGATAGCAGGTCGATAGTTGTTATCTTTTTCAAGATTTTAATCTCTTTATTGTAGCCTTATTAACAAATACGTACGAGTAGCACTTTACTAATATAATAGAAAGTCAAGTTAGTGTTATGGTGCAGCGGAAGGCCCCCTCTCCTTACAGTCAAATGGCTGAACGCCCCTCGAATCAGCCCCTACCATTAGTCTTCTATTTCACACATTTAACCAGCTTGCGTGACCCACTAGCTCAACAAAATTACTTCTGCGGGACCAGAGGATACCTAAAATATTAAATTGAAGTAGTGTGGTTATATTTTATCCACGTAGAGAAAAGTACGTGCAACAAATAAAACAATCTAGTACTCTCATCATTTTATATAATTTGATTATTTATTTAAATTTTCTATCAGCTTTAAAAAAAGTAAAGATTAAATTAAATTCTTATGTAATATTTTAATTTATGATATAGTTTTTGCTATTTAAAATTTAAATTATCTTTAAAGTTAGATTTGGATTAAATTAATTCATGAATGTTTCAAAATTATACGATAAGTTACAATTTCTTCTTATGTTTATATGGTAAAAGATACATTTTGAGATATTTATAAAAATGTTTACTTAATTTAAATTCCAAAAAAAAAGTGAAGAAAGAAAAATGTATTGGGTCTCTTAAAGATACAAGAATTCTACGGACCAAAACAAAAGGTTTAGGCTACATTTGGGACCACAAAATTAAATGAATCGTTTACAAAAGCTTTAGGTTGTATTTGGACATTTAATTTTGTATCAGGATTTGAAATTATAATTTCGAATTAATATTTGAATATGTGATTTGAAGTTACGATTTTAAATTTTAAATTCTTTAAAAAGTATAATTTTAGATTGGATTAAAATCTTGAAATGCAGCTAATGGATTAATTCTTCTATGCTAATGAAATGTTGAATGTGTTTGTACTTTGTAGACCAAAAGAGGGAATATTTTGATATATTTATAAAAACAAATTACATAATTTATATTTCGAGAAGTTAAAAGTATCACATAAATTGAAAGAAAATGAGACTCCGAAGATTAAAGTAATCTTACCGGTAAAAATAAAAGGTATTTTCTTTGTCTTAATTTATGTGACATAGTTTGAATTTTGAGAGTCAAACAATTTAAGTTTAACCGTGAATTTGGGCATTAATCTTCCATTTTTCTAAAATAAAATTTATATATTTGAAATAAAATGTTTAGGATCAGAAAATTAAATGAGTCTGGGTGGCGGAGTCAGAATTTAAATTAAATGAATCGTGGGTGACGAAGCAGAATTTTCATTAAGGGGTGTCAATGGTTATACTAAAAAGAAAGAAATATGAGACTAGCAAGGCTACACACAACCTCAAGGAATTTTTGCAACCACTTAATCACTAAACTAAATCTTCATCTTGTGTCGAGACGTTTCAATATATATATATATATATATATATATATATATATATATATATATATAAATGTGAACTCTATATACAATGTAATTTTTCGGCAAAGGGGTGTCACTTGACACCCCTTGGACAAGGCTGACTCCACCCCTGCCGTCATTGTTTATTCTCCAAAAAAAGAAGTTCATGACATGTTGGCCTTCTACCTCCACACAACATTGCTCTGTCAGGCTTTCGCCCATTGCAGAAAATTCCCCAACCTCCTGTAGGAGTCTGGGTCATGTCTCAATTCTAGTGTGGCTAATCATCCTCTCGGACTAGCTAAAGAGCAGAGAATTTTGATAGTTTTTACAATTTGTGAGATATTCATGCTTATGTTCAAATAAAATTTGTATTTCAAATCAGTCTAATTTCATATCGCTTGTGCAAACGGATCATAGGATATTCTACCCCAGATACATACATGTGAATCCACTTGGATACGGTGTACCTAGAACAAGTTTCGCCTAATTTTAACTTTACATATCTCGAGATACATGCATCTGGACTCACCACTAGTAAGATTTATAATATTAGAAACTAAATTAGCCCCTTCCATTGAATTAAAATTAGAATTTCTTTTTGCAAGTTCATTTCATCTTATTTGTCATACCAAGATATTGATAGCATATTAGTAGTTGCTTAGTCTTTTTCGAGAATTTAAGCTCATTATTGTTGCCACATTAACAAATACGTACGAATCCTCTTGCGTATAGGACCACTGATTCACCAAAATTACTTCTGCGGATACCTAAAATTGTTGTTATAATTTGTCCACATAGAGAAATATACACACAACACACAAAACATATATACTTTCTTCAATTCAATTTAATTATTTCATTATAATTTTGTATGAAATTTTAACAAGTTAAACGTAAAATAATTTTTTATGTAATATATGATATAGTCTTTGCTTTTCAAAAGTTAAATTTAATCATTCTAAATTACATATCTAAATATTCATATCAATCTAATTTTATATTGATGGCATTATCTATCCAGAGTGCGACGGGCTCGTAGAATTTTCTTCCCTTGGACCTTCTGGTTCAGCAAAATTTAAAAGAGGTCCCTTGGCTCCTTATCATCAATATATAATGCATAGTAATTTATCAGTAAAAAAACGAGTATCAATAACACTTAGCAACAATGGAAAAGTTGTTGTTGAAACTGCCAGTTTTGTTGCTATTTCTTCTTCTTCTTCTTCAACAACAACAACAAGCTGCTTCGCATTCTACTGTTGAGTATCTTCCCGGTTTGCAGGGCCGCCTCCCGTTCCCTCTACAGACCGGGTGAGCATAACACTATGTGATTTATATAAATTATACTTTATTTATTTATTTGAGAACGAGAAGAATCTAAAAACTATGTTTTTTTTTGGTAATATTGGAGGCGAAGTTTGAATTTTTAAATTTTAGAATAACTACATTAGATATAAATAATCAAGGTGGAGATGATTTGTAAGGAGTTTGGTGGTAATGGTTGATTAGTAAAAGTGATTTTATGTCATTTCATTTACTACTCCTTCTACTCCTATTTTATTTTATTTATATGACTGTAATTAATTATTATAATTAAATAGGTATGTTGGAGTTGGTAAAGATGAGGAGTTGCAACTTTTCTACTATTTTTTGGAATCAGAATCCGAGCCTACTACCGATCCTCTTTTGATTTGGCTATCAGGTGGGCCCGGTTGCTCTGCTGCCACTGCCATTGTTAATGGGATAGGTACATCTTCTTATTTTATTTAATTTGTTTGCCTGATTTTGATATTATCAATTTTATAGTCTTAAAAGAAAAGAGGATAATTGAAATTTCATAGACACATCTTAATTTAAGTACAATTTTATTACTCGAATCCATTTTTTTTGTAAGTTTGTACACATTTTTTACTTACGTAACATCCAAACATCTCTCACGCACCTCAACTGCATGGAGTCATGGAGTGTGCCACGTAAACCAAAAGGTGTATAAAATT